CCATTTTTGTTGCAAAAATCCTCAAACTTGGCATTGTCAAATTCTGTCCCATTATCTGATCTTATGCAGGCTACTTTTGAATCCATCTTCACTTGAATTTTTTTCACAAAGCTACAAAAACTTCAAAGGTCTCATCTTTTGTTCTAAGGAACAGAGTCCAAGTGAATCTGGAATAGTCATCCACTATCACAAAAATGTATCTTTTTCCTCCACTGCTTTGCACTCTCATAGGACCACATAGATCCATATGAAGGAGATCAAGTGGCTTTGAGGTGCTGACATCCCTTTTTGGCTTAAACGAAGATTTCACATGCTTCCCTCTAGCGCAGGCATCACGAACTTTGTGCTCCATGAACTTTGATTTAGGTAGACCACGAACCAGGTCCTTTTGAACTAGCTTATTCAGTAGAGAAAAGCTTGCATGCCCCAGTTTTCTGTGCCACAGTTCAGCATCATAATCAACTACTTTCAAGCAACTTAGATCACCACTTTGTAGAGATTCAAAATCAGCAACGTAGGTGTTCTTGTATCTTTTGGCCACCAGTACCACTTCACCCGTTACTAGATTAGTAACTGTGCATATCTTTGACAAGAACTCCACCTTATTTCCTTTATCACATATTTGAGAAACACTCAAGATACTGTACTTGAGGCCATTGACATAGTACACATTCTCAATTGAGTGAGTGAGTAATTCCTCAATTTTTCCAACTCCGAGAATGTACCCCTTTTTCCCATTGCCAAAGGATACACTCCCTCCTTGCAGGAATTTTAGTGAAAGAAAGTCCATGGTGTTCCCAGTCATGTGTTTTGAACATCCACTATCCATGAGCCATTGTTGACTGCTTCCTTTCACTGTTCCCTGCACAAGAAAATCAAGAGTTAGTTTTAGGAACCCAAGCAAGATTGGGTCCCTTGTAATAAGCAAGAGGATGAATAAGAGCTCTTTTAGTCCATGCAAGCAACATGTGTTTTTTATGGGTGGCACCTGGTCCCTTCTCGGTAGTTACTTTTTCAGCAAACACTTTGTTTTTCTGAAGAGACTGGACCCTGGATTGGCAATTTCTTTGAAATGCCCATTGTTCCCACTGTGGGTACACAGCCAATTATCCTGTATAGTAACATACTTGCTATGGGGGTTGTAAGGAGTTCTCTCCCTTTGAAACCTTATTCCCTACCTGTTTCCACTATTATTAACATACATGGTAGTAATAGCTTCCGAGGACCAGGTCCACTTAAGGGACTTCTCAAGATCATTTTTTACTCTTTTCAGTTCTGCTTGGAGCTTTGCCTATTTTTTTCAAGTTCAGCACACAAACTAGTTCTCACAGCATTTAACTCATTTTCAAGCTTAATGTGTGCCTCACTAGCTACCTCTTTCCCTTTTTCAGAATTTTCAGGCCTACACTCAGCTCCAAGTTCCTCTATAGTTTCCCTTAAGTCTACAATCACTATTAAGAGGTCATCTCTCTCCTGCTCAATAACAGTCACTTTCTCCACTAAAGCATCTTTTTCTTTACTTAAATTCTCAATGGTTTCTTTCAAGTCAACTACTACTACCACCAGATCATCTCTTTCGTGTTCTACACTAGTGATTTTCTCAGTTAGAACCTTTTTTTCATTTTCCAAATCACTATAGTTTCCTTCAAATCAACCAAACAGGCTATCAAGTCATCTCTGGTTTGCTCAGCATCTCCTAATTCTATGGTCAAGGCATCCTTATCATCTACAAGGCTATGATAGGCATCGATTAATACATTGGCTAATGACATGAGTTTCTTAGGAGAGTAGGATTTCAGATTTCTCTGAACATCCCTGAAGTTTACTTCATCATTGTCATCATCTTCATCATCGTCTGATTGAGCCATTAAAGCAAATATTGAATCATATTCATTTCCTTCACTTTCAACTGCCATCATGGAACTATCATCTGCATCAGTTTCTTCTTCAGACTCACTTAAGGAATCTCCCCATGCTGCAAGAGCTTGCTTCACAACGTTGTCAGCGGCATTCTTTCTTTTGAAGCGTTTGTCAGGAACCGGGTTCCTCTTGGCTGCTTTATCAGGGTTGTACTTGAAGTGTTCTTGCTTCAGGAGAGGACAATCTTTGATAAAGTGCCCTGGCTTTCCACATTTATGACAAAGGTCATAATTTTTTGGTCTGCTAGAACTGCCTCTCTTTGGTATCCCTCCATTCCTTCTGACCATTTTCTGAAATCTTTTGGTTAGGTAAGCCATGTCACAGTCCTCCTCACTTGAGTCATTGCCTTCAGCTTTGAGTACCAGGTTCTTTTCCTTCTTTGGTTCTCTTTTTTCACTGTCCTTCCTCTTCTTCATTTCGTAAGTTTTAAGATTTCCAACTAGCTCATCTATAGTTCGGGCCTGCAGATCCTTTGCTTCAGTAATGGCACTCACTTTACTCTCCCACGAACTAGGCAGAACACTGAAAATTTTTCTCACAAGCTTGTTCATAGGGATCATTTCACCGAGCAAGTGTAGCTCATTTATGATGGAAGTGAATCATGTGTGCATGATAGATTCATCGTCTTTCATCCTGAAGAGCTCATACTCAGTGGTGAGCATATCAATCTTAGATTGCTTTACTTGAGTGGTTACCTCATGTGTTGTTTGCAAAGCTTCCCATATTTCCTTGGCGGATTGACAAGCTGATATCCTGTTGTATTCATCAAGTCCTATGCCACACACCAAAATTTTCTTGGCACGAAAATTTTTCTCCACAGCTTTCCTATCTGCATCATTGTATTCTTTTCTGGTCTTTGGCGTCGTCACTGGAGGGTCTCCGACCTTCTTCGTTGGGACATAAGGACCATCACATATAACATCCCACAACTCAGAATCTTCTGCCATGATAAAATCATGCATTCTTGTCTTCCACCACCCATAGTATTGCCCATTGAACCTGGGTGGTCTATACGTAGACTGACCTTCTTCAAAATTTGGTGGAGCAGCCATAAGGATCCTTCCTAGGTGTTAACATGATAGAAAGAACCCGTTCTGATACCAATTGATAGAATATATAAGTCCACCAAACTATATAGAGACCAGGTCCTATATGAGTTTCCACTGAGAATGCTAATGTAACAGTAAGTAAAGAGAACAGGCAGTTTTTACGTGGAAAAATACCTGCTCAAGGGGATAAAAACCACGACCTACACTGGTAAGATTTCAACTTCACTATGAGCAACTTTAGATTACAACCTATGCAATCTAGGAATTAAACTCTTAATCCCTCACTAACTTGTAATACACCTATTACAAAGACTTCAACTTATGACTAACTATAGTCACGACACAAACACTAAAGGTTTATAATTTTACAAGGGGTTCTTAAGTAACGCTTCTAGATAAGCAAAGTAGGAATTACAATGAAGAACAATTACAAAGTTACAACTCAACGAAGGACATACAAAATACTTGCTGTAGGAACTGGTCCATAGTAGTTGTTGTTCTTTATTCTTGATGCACTTAAAAATTGAATGCTTGATCAGTGAACGGTTGGTGTGCTTTAATGAATTCTCAAGTGTTCAAGTGATGTCTTGTTGTAGTGTTTAATATTAATATAACATAGATGATATCACTTGGTAGGTCAAATGAGAAGTGACTGCAGAACTGTGCTGCACTGTTTCTATGTACAGTGCAGGCAGTCACTTTTCAGCTGTACACAGTTGACTTCGTACTGCTGTCAGGGAAACACAAGGGTAGTAGGTCCCTGTGTTGATTCTCTATCTTCTGAAGTCATAACAACTCACGTAAGCTGGAGTCTGTTGATTTGAGTTGTGTACCAAGTGTGTCAGGTTCCTTATCTGGTTCTTTGACAGTAAATTTGTTAGATCATCAAAACATAAAGCTAAGGTATTGTAAACCATCAGTTACCTGCAACAACAAGTTAAAGTTTCATTCCGTCATGTCTTCCTCGACAGAATCAAGCATGGCCCTGGCCAAGACCATAATATCCACAGTAGGTTCTATTGCTGCAACGGCTATGGTTGTCCGTTCAGTAATGCATGAAATTCTGCCATTAGATTTCCAAGATTATATCTCCATTGGCCTCAGGAATTTTTTCTACAGATTCTCAAATCATCAAACTATGGTGATTGATGAATTCGATGGCCTAGACGTAGACGGAGTGTACGAAGCTGCCCAATTTACTTAGGCTCCAAAGTCTCCGCAACAAATACTCATTGCTTCAAAATTAGCAAACCAGTAAAGGAGAAAAATTTCAATGTCAACATCGAATGTAATGAAGAAGTAATTGACTTTTATAACGGCCAAAAGCATACGTGGGTTTGGGTTTGTGAAGGATGATCATCAATAAGATCGATATACAATCCACGTGGCATGAACTCCACCTTAAGATCGGAGATTAGATATTTTCAACTCACGTTTCATCGTAAAAACAGGAAATTTGTCCTAGACTCTTATTTACCATACATTATTGACGAGGCAAAATTGCTAAAATATGAAAAAAGGACACTCAAGATTCACACCGTAGATCATGACATGATGCATGATCTAAGTGAAGTATGGATGCCGGTGAATCTTGATCATCCGGCAACGTTTCAGACATTAGCAATGGATGTGGAACAAAAGGAAAGGATTGTGAAGGATTTGGACAGGTTTGTGAAGAGGAAAGAGTATTATAGGAAAGTTGTGAAAGCGTGGAAAAGAGGGTATTTGTTGTATGGTCCACCAGGTACTGGTAAATCTAGCTTGATTGCAGCTATATATTACTTGGAGTTGACTGAGGTGAAGAAGCATTCGGATTTACGGCGGTTGTTGTTGGCTACTGCTAATAATTCTATTTTGGTGGTGGAGGATATTGATTGTTCTGTTGATTTGCAAGATAAATTGGGCAACAGAGAGGCTGCTAATTCATCTTCAAAGAATTCTGGTGATGAGGAAGAAAGCAAGGTTTATCTCCTCTTGAGGTGAGGAAACAAAAGATGAAATAACTAGGTAGAACAACAGCTTACTCCAATAAACCAAAGAGGCAACTAATAAATATGGCACTGAGAAACCAAAGTTCTACAGCCTGTTTATTCCACTCTAAACATTGCCCACCAACAAAGGCCTTGGTGATCTCTCTCACACTCATTACAAAAGCAGAATATATACATGGGAATATGGGGAGATACATAAGAAGCGGCTTTTCTTACACATCGAAAGCATCTACTAATATACCCTTTCAGACCTCGACGCCTATTCTCCTAGCAACCTGCAGAAGAAAAATACCAGGTCATGCAAGTTTAGGTGAAAGATTAGGGCTAGTTGAAGTTAAAATTTTGCTGCAACTAGTAACGAAAAGTATTCTAGTGAATCAGGACCAATGCATTTGGTTGTACTAAGATAAGTTAGAGAACATGAGAAAGACCACAAGGCATGCCAATTTCCAATTTAATCACATATTTCCCCTTGAGAGAGAGAGATCAAAACAATCCAATAAAACGTATAATCTACAGACGCCATTGGAACTTCTTGCCCGTTATAAATGTATTTGCAAGCCATTATATGCAATAATTGTAAATCAATCTCATGCAAACAGCTCAAATATCAAAGATGATCTAAAGGTCATCATCAAATTACAAAAATAACTTGCGTGATCTCAAACTATTTAGATATCAAAATCCGGTCATCAAGTTTTAAAAAATTATGATATGGTGATGTTCATAGAAGCATTTGGCTACCAATGTGATGTCAAGCAAATAAATTTGATCGTTGAATGAGAGCAAGAATATGTTTGAAGGGCAAAGTTCTCCGGAAGTTCAAGAGGATACAAGTTTAACCAAAACAGTCGTTGTAATTAACCAAGACACGATTTTGGGCTTTTAAGAATTACCAAAAATTGCATTCACAATTGTATTCAAGTTTGTTAAGCTAAAAATTGGGCTCACAAGCACGTTTCAGGAAGCACAAAGGTATAAGAGCAAGCCATTCAAACTGTCACTGAAATTAGAATCTTATCAACAAGATAAAGACAACGATCAGAACAAAAGAAAGGAAAAAGAAAAGTTAATCCCTTTTCTCCAAACAAGCATATATTAAGCCAAGGAGAGTATCTCTTATTCTCAAGCCAGGCGACCTTTTTTATTCTTTTTGTCCGTAAATTTTGTTTCAATCTCCTCTGCCGCTATAACTCTTAACTTAGTTTTTAACGATTATCCATTTCAAAGCAGAAAATATGGAAAAGTGAAATGAAGAGCAGCATTCCCCTTGTATCATACTTTAAGTTACTATGGCTTAAAAACCACTCGGCTTACTTGGTAAACAGTAAAATCCAAATGGCATATTACCAGCAAATAGCATGTCTCCCACAGGAGAAACATAATCTTTCAGAAAAAGAATTCAACAAAAGCACATATTGCACATAAACGAATAGTAGATACAACAATGAATTTAAGTAGACCATGATTAGCAGATATTGATGCTGTTCTTTTCAAAGATTAAAGAACGAAAAATATTTTCGCCATGAAAACAAGTTACTACAGATATAAGTTACAACCAAAACCAACCAAAACCAGATACCTGAGCCTAGATCTAACCTGAGGCTGTTCATAAGCCCATCTGTATCTTCTCAATCTCAGCTTAAGAATAGTCCACTCCATACTTCTCACCAATTTGCCTGTAAATCTAATCCAAGAGGTTAAATTATTGTGAATAAGATCAAACTGAACATAATGGGACAAGCAGAATAAACAGAGAGAAGTCCATAAAACCAACTTCCATAATAATAAAAAGACAACATGTAAGGGAAAAAAGAGATTAGAAACTGAGGCAGAAAGACAATGAGATAGCAGTATCTCTGCCTGCCCATAAGGAAAGAGTCAAAGATAATGTACAACATATATATATGTGCGCGCACACATATACACACACACACAGAGGAGCACCGAAAGATCTAAAGTTAAACCAAATAATTCAAACACAACTCCTGGGAATGAGACATAGAGTGTGTGTAAGCCGTAAACAGTGAATCCACAAAATTTATTGATATGATAAATTTTCATGGTGATAGAAGGAACATCAGAGATACTACAAGCAGAACAGTTACTTGCTCTTGTAATTTTTCAATCTTCAGAATTAGATCCAGAAAAATTCATTTTCTTCGGAAAAATTTTCATAATAAATGAATATAATTCACCCTTAACCAGAGGTGTCGTGTTCGAGCATTGGTTACGGGAAAAATCCTGGTCGGAAACATTTCCCCTTTAATGGGCTTAACACGGCGCGAATCCGAACTAGTCGGGCTCCAAATTGGATACCAGATACCGAGTGGGAATCAAAAACAATATAGCATATACTACAAGCAGAAGAAAAATGGGTATTACTATTTGTAGTTTTTCAATTTTCATCATTAGCAGATCCAGAAAAATTATTACTAACAAATTTTTCATCAGAGCGAGAACAACTAGAGATGTTAAAATTAGAAAGATAAATTGTTCACTTTACACCAAAGCATTTGATTTGTAGTTCTCTAAAGAAAAAAATACCACATAACACAAACACTGCAAAAAGTACTAAACTGTGGACACAAACTAGGTGAAGAAAAAGAAAAACAAAAAGGTAAAGTCAGGAAACTGAATATTGGTTCTACAATAGTGCAGTAAATATAGCTGCAGAAAATGCATAACTTGAACAGATGATCAAGAAATTCAAAGAAAGGCTAAAAAATTTCAATAAATCTAAGCATTGAGTGCATTTTTAAATTGAAAAAAATAATACTCCATGAACAAACCTGAGCCATGGGCTGAGAGGGAATAACAAGTGTACCCACAGCATCAACAAGAAGAGCTTTATGTGTAAGCCCACCATACCAAGCCCTTATGTTATGTAATCTTCATACTCTTTCACTAGCCCAAATAGCCTCGAACATACCAGCTAACGCACCGCATCCTTCAGAACTTCAAAGTCAAGCATGCTTGGGCGCGAATAGTACTTGGACGGGTGACCTCTTGGGAATCCTCGTGTTGTATCCTCCATTTACCGAAACTCTACTTGTTTTGTTTATTTAAATTTCTCATTTATTTATTAACGGCTGATTATTTTGTTTTGATCGCTCTGATTCGTAGTTCTACCGAAAAGAGATAAACTTGAGAACCCTAGTTAAATGATATCAAACTTGTCAGAAGAAGATTTAAGAGAACCCAAATAAGTTTATCTACAAACTTTAAATTTATCGTTAGCAGCACTGGATAGGTTTATTTGGAGAGGGGTGACGATTTTGACACTTTGAGGCTTCTTGAATGGAAACAAAACTTCCCCTTCCAGGTTTCCTCTGCCGACCAAAGTTCTAGTTTCTATGTGCAGATCCTGCTCCAATGCTATCTGAGATATTCACCATATTGAATATTTTGGACAACAGCTCCTTGGTGCTATATATTTTACTGTAATAATAAACTTACCAATCCTCAGAAGAAGAAATTTTTTTTGTAATGACTTAGATGACAATGCTAAAAAACGTTACCTTGAGAAAAAACAAACAAGTTTATGCAGGTCAAGATTGTTGAATAAACTTCTCTTATTCTCTATAAGTAACTGTTGAGCTAAGACTTTACTAGGCTACTGAATTCTTACAGTTTACCTAGATTTAAGTCCAAACAAGAAGGAACTAAGTCTCTTCAAACTGTTTGAAATTCCATTGTTTGATTACATGCAAATGCAAAACAAGTCAGCAAATCATCATAACAATGGCATTTTGACTACAGTTACAGAAAGAAGAAAAAAGAAAAGAATCTTTCCAAGATTAAAGATGTACCCTGTCAGTCCATTCAGAAGATCTTCTCATGATGAACAGAATAAGCTACATGATTGGTCTATGCCACTATGTTGATATATTAGATCAATGATCAGTACAAAACAAGTGCATCCTTTGATAGTTCCTTCATGGAAAATAACCAGCCAGCCAATGCAAAATTACGGGGAAGGATAGATCAATCCTTCGCTTCCTTTGCTGCACAAGAACCACATGGGACAAAATCGCATGGACTGAAATGCTTAGGGAATGCCATCAACCTTGTTGAAACACTACTTAATCTTTTATATCCATACAATAAGAGGCTAAAAAGGATTACGATTCGTCAGATTAGAGCTGCTACAGTTATAAGTAGACCACAAATCTTTACAGCAGCCTCAAATATACGATTGAAGATCTTCACCAATATAACTAAACCAGAAACGGGACCAGCAGCCAAGCTACATTTATAATTGCCTTCGCCGACAAAGCCTAAAATCTGAAGATTAAAAAGGGAAAGGAGAAGTTCAGTACAGAAATGAAGCTCATCTCTGCATTGTTATGTAACATCTCGCTGCCACCACCTTAGCTCAAATCTTTCTATCACGAATGTCGACCAGAGATGGCACGGAACTTTTCAAGGTGGTATATCATAATTGTAATCTTCACTAATCCTCATCAGACATCTCAAATACTAGACTCCGAATAAGAGAAGCAGATTTGGGCAGCAGTCTCCTACAGCGAACACTAGAGAGACTTTTTGAGGCAGAAATAATACGAGTTCCAATTTCAATCCTTTTAGACTTATTTATTGAGGCTCTGCTAATGCGTTCATTAATTGGAGGTGGAGCATCTGAAATTTGCAGAGGTGTTTTAGCTGGAAAAGGAGACAGCAAAGCAAGTTCTACATCAAGATCATGAAGATATGTTCGAGTCCTTGTCTGTTCCCTTTGAAGAGTATGAGCTCCTTCATAAGAATATCTTAAGCTTGAATTCACCTCATCGTGACTTGAGAAATATTTCTTGATAATGCCCGAAACAGAAACTGCCTCTGATAAATCTTCACAATGGGACTCTGCTGCTGGACAAAAACTCTGTTCCTTATCTCCCCTACCTTCACAACAATACGTCGGAAGAGCAAAGCTTGCCTTGGAAACAACTAGAGGCTCATCAGGTCCTTCTAGGCAGTTAAATTTGTACCTTTTCCTAGCTTTGTTCCGTTTCTTCTTCTTCATCTTTGTCAAATGAGCTATTCTTAAAACATCTAATAATGCACTTTTAAGGCAGGCAAATTTCATCTTCTTCATTTTTCTTCTGCATTTTAACTTTTCAAATTTTGTGCCTGTCATAGAAGTTCTAGTTTTTGTGTGACCAGAACTAGTGCTAATAAAATCATCATGCTGATCCAAAATTTGGTCATCGACATATTCAGATGAACCCAGCTGATATAAAATGCCATATTGGCAAACTTCGACATGTAGTGACCTAATTCCCTTTAGATGCTGGAAAACATGCTTTAGAGGAAAAGTTTCAGGAAGGCGGTAAAAGCATGAGTTCCTCTTGACCTGCCGAAAAGCTACAGTCTGATGAATCATTTAATTTGAGAAAACAAATTATGACAAGTGAGACAGTATAGGAAAGTTAAAGAGTTTAAAAGAGCTTAGAAGCATACCATCACAGCATCCGCCTTGATCTGCCCCAGTTGTGGGAAACAATTCAAGTGAGCCCTTTCGAGTTCTCCTACAAATAGCAATAAGACTTGTTCCAAAATCACACGTTGTTAATTACGAAAAATTCAATGAACATTTTCCCTTTTTGCTTTTATAATGAGATGCAGCTGATGCCATCAATATTCCTAGACAACGAAAACTTTACATCAAGACAACCAAAACTTTCACAACTTAAAAATCTCTTTGTCAACTATATTCTTGGTTTGCTAAAGGGGTCCTTGGGCAAAATAAATCTTGATACTCTCGAATCTGGACATTTGTTAAGCAGTTAAGGTAAATTCAACATTTTTTATTTAAAATGAAAAAACAAAAGCATCTATTATTGAAGGGTACCATAGCATCTTTCATCATTATAAATACATCAAGGACCCGTTTGTCCATAGATTTTGCCTATATTTGGCAAAATCCCAAATCCCAAATCCCAAACCAGCTCAATAGTTGGTTTTGGGCCAAAATCTTTACAAACACTAAGGCCCCGTTTGGCCATAAGTTTTCCCAAAATAAATTTGGGATTTATTTTCAAAACTCATGTTTGGCCATAAATTTTGCTCATATTTTGGCCAAATCCCAAATTTCAAATCCCAAAATCAGCTATTGAGCTGATTTTGGGCCAAAATCCCAAAACTTGGGAATTATATACATGTTTTTCCAAAATAAAGTTGGAAAATATGTTTTGAAAGCGTATGTCCAAACACATTTTCATCTTCAAACCAAACTTCACCCAAATTAGATTTTTCAAAATAAATTTGGGATCTATGGCCAAACGCTAGCTAATAATATACATGTTTTTCCAAAATAAATTTGGGATATATGTTTTGAAAACCGTATGTCCAAACACATTTTCATCCTCATACCAAACTTCACCCAAATAAGATTTTTCAAAACAAATTTGGGATATATGTTTTGAAAACCGTATGTCCAAACACATTTTCATCTTCAAACCAAACTTCACCCAAATAAGATTTTTCAAAACAAATTTGGGAATCTATGGCCAAAAGCTAGCCAAATCTCTTCCTTTTTTATGAGGTAGTATTCTGGCCAATTTGTATGCACCCCGACTATTTTACCAGGCATCTCATACCTCCCAGCACAAGTATTGGTAACGCAACCCACCTAGACTCATGCAAATGGGAAAAATCACCAAATATGTTTTTGCCTATACGTTAGGATTTGAAACTCAGACCTAGTGGTACTTATGAAGAAAAAAATTAAGAGGGGTGAATAGTACTCCACTGTAGCAACAAAAACAAGAAAGAAACTAATTCAAGAAAAAGGCAAAATTAAAGATTTGATCTTGAAATGTATAGCATTAATTGAGCAAAACAAAAGAGAGTTCCAAAAACTCACTCTTGAAGCCATTAGCAGTAGTGTGGGGAGAAACAACCACAACAATGCGAGTGCCCAGATTGGTGTCAACAAAAACCGGGATTTCCACACTTGGACAAGCCATTCGTAATAATCACTCATCAGTTCAAACTTCCGACCTCTTCACTTCAAAAAAACAATAACGTTGCTAATACAGAAGACAGAATCTCTGTACTTTTCTCGAGGAATACGAGAAAGGGAAAGTGAAAGTGGTGGGCCCTCCTTTCTCTTTGTTCTACTCGGATTGGAGAAGTATGAAAACCCGTTAAACCCTCCCCGTTTCTCCAAATTGCAGCCGTTTATTGTTACTTCAAATTTGGTCATCTCCTCCTCACTATTCATTCTTACTTTATTATTATTTTATTATTTAACACTTTTAATTTATCTCTTTATATATATATATGTGTTTATGTAGTATTTTTATAATATTAATTTTACATCTTAACTTTGGCATATAATTTTGATAATTTAATTTTCGCGCATATATTATTTTTATATAAAATTGCAAGTTAATATTATTATAAGTTATAGTTGTACAAAAAATATCATCTTAAAATTATTAATGGTGCAAATATAAAATATTAGATGTTGCTAAAATTGAAAGGTGCGAATATAAAATATTAGATGTTGCTAAAATTGAAAAGTAAAAAATAAAAATGCATTAAATGATTTCACTTTTATTTGAATTATCCGTTAATATATATATAATCTATAATATTTGCTTATAAATTATATTATCTAAAAATTTATGGTATAAAATAATTTTATATTAAATTATATGTAAAAAAAGAAAAAAAGATAGAATTTCTTTAATAGAAATAAGAAAATAAAATTTAAATAAAAGATAATAATATAATATTAAAGAGAGGGAAGAATATAAAATGGAATATTCTTTTTTGAAGTAAATAATAGAGTAACGGTTGGAGTATTTTGGATAAGAAAACGGAGGCAAAGGTCGGAGATGGCCTTAGTACGTGTGTGTTGAAAGAAACGCCAAAACACAACTAAAAATCTAATTTACTATATCTATCTATTTATTATATTTTATTAAAGGAAAAAGTCAAAAGCACCTATAACCTATTAGAAATAGCTTTAAAATATCCTCTTTTTACCTATTGGTTCGAAAATGCCCATCCATAACTCAAAAATAAATGTTTAGTTCTTACTTCTTTTAATTGTTATACTAATATACTTTTTATATATTTTGCCTGAATCAAAATTAGGTGCATGGCACTTAATAAGCAATGAATGAAACTTGTTCAAGATCGACTTAATGATGCCTACATATTTGAGGTAGAGAACATTTTGGATTATGCTTTTACAAGATTGAGAGAAACACAAGAAATATATTGTCCATGCATCAAATATTATAATGCATCTTCAGGAGTTCGTGAGATGGTTAAGTTATATTTATAGTATATCAAATAATTCAAAGTTATACTTTTGGTATCACCACCAGGATAGGTTAGATGAGCCATAGTTAGACTCTGAATTCGTAGATGATAATGACATTGAATAGGATGATGGTGAGGATGAAATACGTGTGATTTTAAGAGATTTACCTCGCTTTTGATGGAGACAGTATGAGTATTGGTGATGGTGGTTTTATTGAGGAGGAACCAAATCTTGATGCTAAACGGTTCTATGACTCTTAAGAATTTTGAGCAATCATTATGCGAAATTTCAAAAGCTTCTAAATTTCTACTGTGGTTAAATTATTTACATATTAAAAGTATTGGCTGTTAGGAATAATGAGACATTTAAAATGTTATTGAAGATGTTGAAGGAAGATTTATTGCCTGATGGATCAAACTAGCCATATCTATTTTACGAAGCAAAGAAAATAATTCGGGATCTTGGGTTTTCTTACAAGAAGGTTGATGCGTGTGAGAATGATTACATGTTATATTGGAAGGTTGATGAGTTCTTGAATCTTGCAAAAATTGTGGTTCAAGTTGTGGCGCATTTAGATGGAAGGAGATAAACGTAACGGGAAAATTTTTTGAAAATGGAAAAAGAAGTATCATACCAGATTTTACACTATTTTTCTCTAAAGCCAAGACTTCAAAGATGGTTTATGTCCTTAAAGACTTTTTTCATATAAAATGGCATCATGTCAAAAAAGTCGATGATGAAATAATGAGGCACCCCGCTAATTCAGTAGCATAGAAAAAAAGTTGATGAACTTCATCAATCTTTTGCATTGAGCCTCGTAATATTTAACTTAGACTTACTTGCTAGTGATGGTTGAAAGTACAAGGAGGCGGGGATGAATTGCCGATTTTTCTTTTTGTATCCTAAGTAGTTGACTAGTTTACCAATTAGTTGACGGAAAATAAAGATAGAATATAATTGAAAGCATAAGTATAGTGCAGGAATTAAAGACACCCGTATTTTATACTGGTTCGGATTTAATGTGAATCTTACTCCAGTCCCCTTGGGTTGCAAGGGTATTCTCTTTTCCAAGCTCCTTGAATAGTTTCGTACAATCATGTTGATGTTAGCTTCGAACACAATCTCACTATTGAATCTAAGTACGTTTATGATACAATGACTCACCAATATTTTTCTCTCTTTCTTCTCTGTCCTAATTATATAGTAAACTTTGCTAAGATTACAATGCTCGATTAGAGTAGAACAAAGAGTACGAAGTTAGTATGATCAAAGTATATCGTTCTTCCTTGATAATTTGCATTATATAATTGAACTTGGCTTGACGTATCTCTAGCAGACCTTTGAGAATTGATCCTTGAAGTTGAATCTGTTATGATTCATTCCAAGAATAAGTGCGGTGCTTCCATAGATAGTCCATGATTGCCGGTATTTTCCTTCTTGAAAGAAGACCCCCTATAAGTGGTCCTTAAGTTGTCCTTGAGCCATGAGATTGATAGCCTTCCTTTTCGACACATATCTTCACCAAACAGAATGGGCGCAATTTTAGTCCAGGTCTCCTTAAATCTTGCTCCTTCCTTCTTTATACCCATTATCCTGGTTGTCATATTGCTTTAATCTTGGGCCTTCCTTTCTTGCTTCTGTTGACATATCTTTTATCTTCGTTCTTTTACTCCTTCCTTTCTTCTCTTCGTCCGTTCATCATTAACAGATTTGCTCGCATCCTTCTTTACATCTCAAGTGATCATGTAGACAATTATATGTTATTTTTCATCATTGAAATCTAAATTTAACAATCTCCCTTTTTTTATGATGACAAAATAACATATATAAAAGCATTTTACTTCCCTGTTTAGCCGATTCTATTCATGTTGTAGTCGACTCCTTAGTTGACTCCTCCTCAACAAAACATTACTTGCTGAATATTTGTAGTCGACTCTCCCTCAAGACAGTCATAAAAAAAATGCTACTTCTTGTTTACCTGTATTGTAAACTCATTTCTCCCCCCTTTGGCATCAGCAAAAAAGGATTACAACATTATGCAAATAAGGAATAGAAAACACTGCATACAGAAATATTGCAAGCAAACTACGCAAACATAAGTGCAGTGATAGGCATGCAGAGATAGTGAGTGTTCAACAAAAAAATCCAATGACTGGTGAGCCAGTCTAAAACGGCAAAAGAAATTGTCTTAAACATTCACCCATTCACAACTAACGACACAGAAAATAAGTGAGAGTATTGCAAATAGCCTTCTTTAGATGGTCAAAGATGGCATTCATTAAACCAGATACCTTATCGATCCTGTCATGCGCTTCCTTGAAAGCTTTGACTGTATTCTCTGTTAACTGGAGAATCTTGACCCATCTTTGATACATCTGACCTTGTCTCCTTGGAAATGCCATGAATATCCCCGATGGTTGATAGAGTTGAGGCAAGAAGGTCCTTGATGATATTCACCTTGTTGTCAATAGCAATCAGTTTCTCCAGTAGTTTAGGATCACTCACACCAAGATGGGAACCAAATGCGTTGGCTTTCGATTCAGTCTGAACAAGCTTAATATCTCCTTCCTGAATTTTTGCCAAGGTACCCTTAGCACAAACATACTGTTGACATCCAATTTTGTCCATCCTTTCATTCTAACTATTTCTTTAAGCTTCTAATATTACTAATAATATAAAATGGGCATTCTATTATTTTTAACACAAATTCACTTACTTGTTGCTATTATTAGAACTATTACTACTATAGTTATCATTATTATTATTATTATTATTATTAATTATTATTACTACTACTACTACCACTGCTACTATTATTTCTAATAGGTTGTTAACATTATAACTACTATTAGCTTACTACTATTAGTAGTACTACCGTAACTCATGTTATTATTATTGTAATTTTCTATTAATAACTATCTAATATTATTTTATCTTACATATATATAAATTTAAGTTTCAATACAAAGAAGTACAAAAGAATTAGGAGCCCAAAACTTCTTTATTCTTCAGACCAATTCCACAGTCCAAATAAATAACATGTTGGTTTTTTTTTTTTTTTAAAGACTAATAGTTCTTTCTCAAGCCACCAAATAAGGAAGCCCATTTTTTCTAAAATACCTGAAGCCCAAACGTCCAAAGCATAGTTCAGCAGCCCAACTACTCTCTTTCCTCACCTAACAGCAAAGCCTAAAAATAAAATTAGGTCATATTTCTTTCTTCTAAGAAGCAACGGCCGCATCTCTTTCTTCCCCTTCCATTTTGATCAATTTTTGTACCTCTCTTCACCATCACATGGCTTTGTTTAACCATTTTCATGAAAGTTTCATGAGCTACTTGAAGCTATTTTGTTCTCTTCCTCAAGTTAGAATTTTCACAAAGATCCGTTGAAAGACAAGAGAGGGTCACGAGTTCCTTATCACTTTTCTTTGTTCATCCATGTCAGTCCCTTTTTCTGCTATCTTGCATCACGATTTTGACTTCTCACAACGACTATTTCTCAAAAATTTGAAGTTTGCAAAATCCAGCCCAAACATGAACCCTAGCTCTATATCTCCTATAAATACTCACATTTGGGAGGGTTTAGAGCTGGGAGAGCCGCCCCCTTTACCCTCAAGCTCAGATCTTTACCCGCTGTTGCTAACCCGAATAATCACTTACTCTTCGCTCATTTTTACCTCTTTTAAAAACTGCTCTACAAACTTAGCTTCTCGGCCTTTGTTGGTTTCTCAACAGAAACAGAGGCGTTTTGGTGTTCGTTCCGGTGTTTAATGGCAGTTTGAGGTAGCACTTCTGTGGTCGGAGTTCGGTAGATCCAAAGCTAACGCCTCAGTTCACTGCCCTGAAATAGGTCAGTGCTTTTTCTTCTCTTTTTCATTCCGCAGTTCTAAACATGTTTA